ACCGCTCAATAAACAGGTGTAATTTGGCACGTTCCCTGGAGTGCTCGGTGAGTTCGGGGTCTTTGTACGTCGCCATCTTGGACAGGAACCTGGGATTCCCTGAGCACTTTTATTTGGGCGCGTGCAGAGAGCGAGCGAATCCCAAGCAGGCGCGGCCGCTGTTAGCACAGAGCTTGACACCGGGCTCGATCTTACCAAAAAAGACGTCCTGACCTTGAGCCAAAATCAAAAGTGGGGCGCTGAACCCACTGAGCCACCCAGGTGCCTTGGACATTTTAATCATAGCTATTGTAAGGTCAGAGAATGCTAAATATCTGAATTTCCTGACGGTCTGTTTCTATTCACATTCTCATTTTAGTCAAATCCTTTGTTTTTGTATTCCTAGTTACTTTTTATTAATTCCTACTTTTTATTGTATTCCTAGTTACTTTTTCTTAATGAACAGACTTCAAAAAAACCACAGAGAAATTTGAGAAACTGCATAATGGTATCCTTCTTGGGTGAGAATTTATTTTTACTTCTGGCTGTTACTAGGTTTGGTGCAAATTGCCTCATTCATTTAGGGGCTGAGGTGATCTGAGACAGGGCATAAGGTCCCGTGAGAACAGGCCTATTTCCAGTTTGTGTACTCAAGGCAGAGGTAGCCCGTTTGGGGCCTGACAGAAAGCTGGGGTATTTAAAAAGCACTTCCACAGGGTCCGTGCTGGACTCTAATTTTTGTTACCTGTGGGTCTTCCAAAAGTTCTGCGCAGCTTCCCAGCCGCTATGCTTGAATAAACGTGATTTGAGGTGGGAAAAATGGCACCAAATTTAAATCACATGTGTCTGCTTTCTTGGTAGCTCTCTGGTGTCTTACTAGATACACATGTTCTGACTTTTCTCGTTCTCTCAGCAGAAGGGTTGGTGCAAAACAGGCTAATCACCCATTGCTGAAAGCTGAACTCCCCACGTGCCTTAATTGAATAAGAGTCCATGTTCTAAAGTAAAATAGACAGGTTCAAATCTTGATTCTGCTACCTTCTAGCTCTATGTGACGTTAGGTGAGTTATTCAACCTCTTTGACTCGTAGTGTCCTCATCTGGAAAACAGAAGTAACAGTAGCACCTGCCTTGAGTTGTTTTAAGGATTGTTTTTCAGATGCAGGTAGAGCACTTAGCACAGTCAGGAAAACAGCAAATATTCAGATGTTAGTAATACCCATTTCTAAAGCACCATAATAATTTTTATTATTAATTATATAAATCAAAACAGCAGCCTCTCTCCTGTGCATCCTCATTGAGGAGCGGTAACTGGTAAAGATCCTACACAGATCTCAACTTCTCCAGCTTTCCTATGGCTTTGGGACCAATGGATACAATAGTTTATTGCACCACATGAAATAGTTGACGCAGGCATTGGTCTGTTCATTTTGGAAAGTAGATCCATTGGAGTTAAGAGAGTCAGAATTTTGCAGCAGGATCAAGAATGTAAGCTTTAGCAAGAAGACTCATGAAACTAGCCCCCTAGACTGTGGCCTCAAGGGTGAATCCAAGTAAATTTGAGACAGTAACCGAGGTTTGCTCTGGAAAAGGGAGACAGATCTTTCGCTGCCCTCCCCATATTAGGGATGAGCCCTGGATGTGGTGGGAAACGCTCTCTACTATGACTCCTGGACAATAGACAGGCTCCAGGTGCTTCAGAACAAGAACCCTAACTATTCTGGGCTCTCTTTGTAAGAAAATCCTCTATTTCAAAGATTCCATAGTATTTTAATAAAAGGATTACATTGCTTCACAACACTTAAAGAAGCATCATTGTCTTCAAACACCTTAAATGTTTTAAATGCTACTGTATTGTGCACCTAAAAATCTGTTAAGACAGTGGAGCTTGTTCCTACAGTATAAAAATTTTTCAAAAAATTTATGAAACTTTTTTCATTGCAGACGTGCTAAAACATCCAAAATATATTTATGTAAGACACAGAACGTAGTAAGCATGCTTTGCACTCACCATGCACCCAATTTATTTCACTTTCCCAGGTGGTAGTCAGAGCACATGACACCACGTGGCGAGGGGAGGCTGGCCACACTGGAGCTCCCAGGAAAGGCTCTGTAGTTGAGACGACATTCCAGAGCCTCATGCGGTTGTGCAGACCCAGCAACGCAATTCCGGGTACAACCAGCCTGATGGTCTGATTTGTATCAGACTTACAGAGAGCGGATATGTAAATTAGCACATCTCAGTCTTTCCACAGTGAAGCAAAAACTGCCACTGGGACTGTACACATGAGGATCCAAACACAGCCTTTTCTCCCCCAATTTGAAAAGCCAACTTTCAGTAGTGATGATGGAAGCAGAGAAACCAGTTAGAATAATGACCGGTGCTGGCATTGAACAATGCCACCAAACTGTGGAGAAAATGTCTCACCCTCCAGCCTTCAGGATCACCTTTTCCTTTGCCACCTAATATAATCCGGCCCTGTCATCCATCCTGTTGGGCTGTAGAAAGTCTAGTCTTGTTTGTGACAGACAACAAGGGAGTGTTTCTATTCCACAAATCCATCCTGGTTGTTGCCAGTCAGCACTTGGCGTCTGGGCTTCTGTGCTGGTCTTTTGCCCTCCAGAAACCACCTCCAAGCTACCACTGCTCCGTAGGCACCATCTGGCCCTGGTATGGACACAGTTCCTCCCTTAATCGTCCAAAATACAGCTGTCACTGGGCTGTGGTTTTTGATGAAGACTTACCAAAAGCGAGACTAAACATGAGGGAATCAATAATGTAAGGGAAGTAATTAAAATCCAGCAACACATTCCAGTGTTCTCAGAACCTCAGCATGGCCCGTCACAGGGGGAGCCTCTGGCCAGCATTTTTCTCCCTAGGGCCCGATCTGTGGCTGGGATACAGAGACCTGCTCAATTCCTCCACATGGGTGTCCCTCTCAAAGCTGTTCCCCTCTATGAATTCTATGGCTTCCCTTCCCCCATCGCAGGCTCCCAACAGAAGAAAAAAGCCTAATCTGTCTCATAATTATCTCTGCATTCTTACCCTACCAACCCACTCTGTTTTAGGATCTGACCCATGAAGCATTTCTTCCAGCTTTGACAGTGTATTTATTTAGCTCCCAGGTTAAAATCCAGACCCTCCTTCTGGATGCACTGACTCCATCCGCCCTAAAACAAGCCGTCCCTAGTCATGATCCAAACAGTATACAAACAAATGTACCATAGCTCACTCTGTTGAACATCTGTCACTTCTAATTCTTTCCTGTTAAAACAACACAGTGAATGTCTTACTAGCTAAAGCTCACACGTGCACATACCGTTTAAACTTTTGCTGATTCACAGGGTATGCACATTTTTTAATCACTCATTCAGTATTGTACTGACTAGTGGGCACTCTCCTAGGGCTAGGGATGTAATAATGAGCATAAATATATCCCCAACTTCATAGCCCTCACATCTTGTAGGAGAGACAAGTAGCTGAGCTCTCATGAATGATTAATAAATGTTAATGAGGGGGAAAAAAAAAAAAAGGAAGAGACTGTGTTCCAAGCAAAAAGAACACCAATTTTCGAAGTCCCTAGACTGGACGGAGAGAGGGCTAGAATTAGAAGACCAACCCAGCTCAAACAGAGGCATAAATAGGGAGCATAGATTGAGAGGGTGCAAGGACCCAACCTTTCAGAACTTTGTAAACATGTTAAGGAGTCTGATCTTTATTACAGGAACAGTAAGCTGACACCAAATGATGCTGTACACATTTTGAAATTTTGATACACGCCCTTGTTATTTTGCATTCCCCTCTAGCTTCACCAACATTGAATATTATCTCAAAATTTGATAGTTTTAGCTTAGGACTCGTTCCATTTTTCATATTCATTGCCCACGTTTGTATCTGTTACAGATACACTGTTTGTGTCCCCTTTAACTGCAAAGTTCATGTTGAAATCTCAACCCCCAATGTGACAGTGTAAGGAGGTGCAGTCTTTGGAAGGTAACTGGGGCATGAGGGCGGAGCTCTCACAAACAATCAGTGTTGTTGTAAGAAGAGATGAGAGAGAGCTTGCTGCTCTGCTCTGCTCTCTGCCATGTGAGAACGCAGCAAGACAGCCACCTCCAAGCCAGGAAGAGGGCCTTCACCAGAAACCGAACCTACCAGCACCTTGACGTTGGACTTCCCAGCCTCAAAAACTGTGAGAAATAGATGTTGTGTAAGCCACCCAGTCTACGGTAATTAGTTACAGCAGCCACAGCTGACAAGAGAGTAGCTTTGCCCATTACCTACTGGGATATTCTTTTTCTTTCTAATTTAAGACTATCTTTTCTCATCTTTTTCCCTAACTATTTGCCTTATTAATTATGTTTGTCAAAATATTATATACATAACAACCTTTTCTTTTATGGATTCTACTACAAAGGCATTTTGACACCCCGATATTTTATATATATATATATATATATATATTCATCTATATTTCTTTTAGTATTTCCATGTTCAACTGCTCATATTCAATCAGGATGTGTTGACTGCCATCTATAAACAGAAGCCTAATTTCACTTTTCAAAGGGTTAACCAGTTATCCCGTGAAATGTCACTTTTATCGCTCTAAGTAAACAACTTATAGAATCATTCATGAATGTTTTCTTACTCTTCTATTTTGTCATATTATCTAATCATATGTTACTGGACCACTATCTCATACAACTTTATAACACATTTCATGTGAAATAAAGTTCTTGCACGGTAAGTTCTCTTATCCTCATTTGTTCAATTTTAATTAGCTACCCTATGAGAAACTTACACTCTCCTTATAAAATACCGAATTGGCTTTCACGGGGATTTTTAAATAGACTATCAAGGTTTCAGACTGAGAATGAAGAGATACCCATCTGGAACATAAAGAGATGAAAATGACCTTGAAGACTTCAGCAACTTTTCCCAACAACTACTGAAATGTATATAGATTTTGGCATGTAATGGGTACACTATTAAAGAATCTGAACAAATATCCCATAAGACAGTTTACCATAATTGACCTTTTATTTAAAAAAATTACAGGGAGCAATTTCCAGCATCTTTTATAAAAGTACTGCCTGTATCAAACATTTATATCACTATTAATTCCATTGAAGAGCTGCCTTTTTTTTTTTAAGGTACTTAATTCCAATTGATGGGATACATGCCCTTAAAATAGAAAGTTTCCATTATTTATCCAAATGTCAAAATTAAGATTATTGAGAAGTTTATTGCTTTATGGCTGGGCAAGATGCTGCTAGCACATTTTAGGTAAATAATATTCTTTATTAAAAACTATGAGGTCATTCTGTTTAAAACTTTCAGAATAATTCACAGAAAATAGATATATTTATTCAAATTACACACTGAAGGGCTGGGCTATCAGCTATAGACATTTATATGTGAAGCAGCTCTTTAAAGAAATAAGACACACAAATAGGTCTGCCTGGACAGAATATACATAATTGAAATTAATAAAACCTGGAAGACCAATATTGTTATACTATGTTCTGTTAGGATCTTAAAAAATAAATCACACACTTAGTAGTCCATTTGTGCTTAAAATATTCATATGCATGAGAAGCTTAAAGGAAAAACACCTCTGTACATGATGATGAAAAGAAAGTAATAAATTTTTTTGAAATTGCACTGTTATTTAAAACACTTTCCTAACGTCAGACCTTCCTTCGGAGCTGGCACAGTTTTTCAGGTCTAATTGGCAACCTGGGGAGGCCCCTCTGGTATCAGTGAAGTAAAGAAGGTGGTGATAAAAGACCACGCTGACGCCATTAATCCAGGCCTCTGAGCCGTACTGGCATCTCCACCTGCATCTTCTCCACTCTCGTCTTCAAGCCCATCATCCATAAGACGCTCCTTTCAAACAAAACAAGAAACACACTCCTGAGGGGTATGAACAGCCGGCATTAACTCGTGACAGAAAAAGAGAGAATTCGTCCCTAGAGAAAGAAGGAACAGGAGCAACGTAATAAGGAAGCAGGATAGATCTGGCCATTGGAAACTTCTGTTAAATCCAAAATTGGTACATTCTTCAGTGCTCAAGTTCAAAGGGAACTCTGAGATGAAATTTAATTGCCAATTTAAAACAATAAATTCTCACTGTGTGCATAATTTTCATTCTAGGCTACTTTCAGGAAGAATAATGTTAGTTCTTCCCAAACTCAGTATCATAGTCTAAGTTGTCCCAGATAAAATCACACAATGTCTTGTAAACTTTCTTCATGTGCCATTCCACAAAATCTTGTGGAACACCTCAAGATCTTTTTTTTTTAATTTTTTTTTTAACATTTATTAATTACTGCGAGAGACAGAGCATGAACAGGGGAGGGGCAGAGAGAGGGGGAGACACAGAATCTGAAGCAGGCTCCAGGCTCTGAGCTGTCAGCACAGAGCCTGACGCAGGCCTCGAACTCACAAACTGCAAGATCGTGAGCTGAGCTGAAGTCAAATGCTTAACCGACTGAGCTACCCAAGCACCTCCCAGAGATTCTTTAATGATGTTGGTCTCTTCTCCTGCTGAGGAAATATCTACATATGAAGTATACAAAAACCTCGTCAGCATACCATTTCTTCAAGTTCTAGGTTGTCTGCATTTTGCCCATCATTGTTAACTTCGGCATTATTGTTGGCAGCCTGCTGCTGACCTCCTTCTTGCCTAAAAGGAAACCAGCCAGCTTGGTGTCTGTTCAGTAAAATAAAGAGAAAAGAAAATAAGTCGCAGCTGTTTTTATTTGTAACACTATAAAACATTAGTGTCCTACGACAGAACAGTGATTTCAACCACAATAAACGAAAAGTCCTACTTTGGGCCTAGGACTACCCCTCTCAAAGCAATGACAGCAAAACAGGAATCAACTTAAGTCTAAAAATCTATCATGGGCTTAACTGGTTCTGTGCTAGATATCTTAATATCTAACCTATTTATATTAATGTCTCAATGTACTGGGAATCATAACATCTTTTCTGGTATTTTTCAAAATAAAATTTAACTACATATTTCTTTGCCTCTTGGGGGAAAGGGGAGCAAGACAAAGTACTTAGGAAAAGAAGTCTGGCCTATACCTATAGGACTTACTATTGATAACTATGATTACAAAGAATATCCTTATATAATAGTGCATCAGACCCTTCAAATTCTAAATAATTAACAGAGCATGTCTAACTGAATTAATAATTTTTATGAAAGATGGTAAAGGAAAAATCTGCTTGTGCAGTTCTGATAAACATTCTTACTCAACATAACCTGCTTTGATTTTGGCGCTAGATGTGTGGAGTCTGAAACTCATATTCCCTCACTCAACATTCATGACAGACTACCATATGCCAAACGCTGTGCTGTTTTAGAAAAGTAATTGAAAGAAACCAAAAAAAAAAGGTAATGAACATCACTCACAAATAAACCAGCAGCATGGCTCCCATTACCATGATAAAACGACTAAAAGAAGAATAGAAGTATACAATGCTAAGGAGAATTGCAGCTCGGGAGAACGTGTACATCCAGTCCAGCCAGTCTCGATTGAAGTCTTCTTCATTTAGCACTGGACCTCCCTGTGCATTCATTTGAACATTCTCATTCATGGGTCGATTTTCTTGGGCCACTAGGTTTGGAGCTGGTGGAGGTTCCTCTCCAGGAACATGTGCCAAATTTAGAGGCTGTGAAGCAGGCGGCTGGGCTGGGTTGGCATTTGATGTGGCCTGAGCTGAAACTGCAGCTTGACTGAAATATTCAACAAAATAAGTATTAAAAAGAAAAAAAAAAACCTGTAACATGCTATATTATATTTTGCAAAACTTCCTTGGGGAGCCATACATTATTTTTCATAAACATAATACAAAGTATCACAACTCCTGGGCCACATTTAAGCACAAACCCCAGTAGAAAAGTAGAGCCAAGACTGATAGTAGGAGTGAGTAGCTCAGGAAAAGATATTCTTTTAGCCTCACAGTCAAAGATGGTAGAGGAGAGGTGCAAGAGGTAAGGCGGCCATGGAAATCACTATCATTTATCTCTTTCATGAAATTACTTTATAAGGTAATGACCAAAATCTTTTTCCAAACCTGTTCACTAATGGCCGCTTTTTTCCCAAATGGGATGACTACCACTGCACCCAACCACCTCTCCCTTAGAGCCATGTTTTGAAAAATATGTCTAAAAACATGCATTAATCATTTACCCTGTGTGCCCACTGTCAGTGATAAATGATTTGTATTTTAAGATATTAACTAGATCCCAGATAACCACACCTCAACCCCAATCCTGACTTTTGGGAAATCCATCTGGGAACCACGGGAATAGGTACTTGTAAACCAATGAAGAACTATGGTACTGAAGCTTCCTTAAAATTGGATTGCTTGAAAGAATAAATATTCCTATAAGAGGCTCCCAGTACAATGATAATATATCTGGGATTTGCTTTAAAGTATCCAGCATAGAAGGGAAAAGTTATAGAACAAGACTGCCATGAGCTGATAAATACTGAAGCTATGTGGTGAGTGCACAGGGATTCATTTTATTATTCTATCCTTTCACATGCTGAAATTTTTCTACAATAAAATGTTTAAAAATCAAGATAGCAAAATAAAATAAAACAGAAGTTTCCCAGGCTACAAAAGTCTATTTAACGTGCTAATACCTTGTATCTTATACAGGGCTTTTTAGTTTCCAAAAAACTCCCTACTTCATAGATATTCTGATTCATAGATAAGTTACTTCACTAAAGGAGAGAACTTGAGGCTCAGAAGTTAAATAATGTACATAAGATGATATGATTTAATAAGCTACAATAAGCCCTACTTACCCTACAGAGTTCTCAAGAGGTTATAAATGAGACAAGGAGTGGAAAGCATCTAGAATCTAGCACAGTACTAAGCACAAAGAAGGCACTTAAATGATAACTATTACCACAGCAATAGGTAAGGTACAATAGCCTATCTGTAGCCAAGGGATTATGAAAAAGACCATTAGGATATGAGGTCCATGAAGCATATCAGCTTTATGGGGTAAGGTCTGGGGTAAGGATAAGGACTTCACATTGTAGGCAAGGGAGCCATCAGATATTTGGGAAGATGGGGAATGACTGGCTCAATTTTGTGTGAAGTACATTAACCTGATAGTAATAGGATGAAATATGGTAGAGAGTCTAAAAAGAGAAAGAACAGTTGCAGTAAACTAGGTCCACAATGAGAAAAGATCTAGGCAAAGTACTAAAAGTAAGATATAGGGAAAGAACAAAAGTTAGAAATAACATATTATTAACTCATCATGGTAAGTTACTGGGTTCAGGGACAACTGAAAGCAGAGTCAAAGCTGATTAAGGTTAAGAGCCTGGAGATGAATATGAAGAGACTCTCACTGACAAAGAAGTCAGGAAGGAGAACACATTTAAGAGGATGGTGGTGTCTGAAAGTCACCATAACTCATTCTCATAATAATTTTTAAAAACTAATGAAATGTATCAGTAAATGAAATCCCAAATCAACTTACTTAGGATGAAAAAGAAAATAAAGCAAGTGGCACACGGAGTAAAACAATGAACTCAAATGAACTTACTACTGCATGTAATACTGATGAGCATACATCTGTTGCCACCACAGCATCTGCAGAGGGCTGAAAGCGGGGTATACTGGGAATCCAGCTGGAACAGCTTGCCCAGGAAGCTGGTTGTCCACATTTCTGCAATAAGGAGATAAAGAAGTGTCTTTTTAGGCTCTGAAAGTTGAAGGCATTTCTCTGAATTTTCACTTCTTAAGTATAAGCCATCCATTGACAAAGTATATTAAATCTTACTGAAAATAAAAGTACTTATTTTCAACATTCTTCAAATAAGACATTATGGCTTATATAAGATGACCCTGACCCCAAGTATATAGAATGACTAACACTTCAGCCCAACTTTAAGAAGAAAATAAAGCAAATTATCCACAAAATGTCTGACAAGACTAAGCATTTGCCATCTTCTCAACAGAAAAGGACAAAACTACTTTCATTATATTTTAAGTACACTCTCCTTAAGAACCATAAGCCCTAAAATAAACTTCATGACAAAATGATTTGAGGAATGGGGGCTCTACCCAAATGATATTTTTTCCCAAATGATATTTTATATTAGTAATATTTTAAAAATTATAACAGCTGTAAGCTATAAGATAAAAAATAAACATTATATAATCTCTAAAATTTTTTCTAAGTTAAAGAACCAAGATTAGCAGAACATACTTATACATGCATTCTTAAAATATGTTAAATGCCCATTAACTCAGTAAAATTTGTGGACAGTCATATTTAAGTTCTCTATGTGTTTCCTTATCTCTAAAATGGGGCTACTCATAGAATCTCCTTCACAGTGTTGTTAGCCTGTACTTAATAAATGTTAGTTATATTTATTTTTACTCTCCCCTACCCCTAAATCTGAATACAACTCCAAAATGTGTAAAGATTTGTAGAAATTCACATATATCAAGACAACTACAGGGACAAGCATATGGAGTAAATGCATAATTTGTGAATTTTCTAACTCTCCTTTTCTTCATATTACTTGACCTTATCTTTAGCTGATAAAGTAGGCGCTAACCTGAGACAAAAATCATTAACAAATTCATAAATTTTTAATACTATATTCAAATGACTGTGAACATACAAATGGCAATAACTGATTATAGAAACCTAATACAAAAAAGCTTGGGAAGCTAAAACTTATCTCTTCTTAAGGCAATCTGGTACTAGGTAAGCCACCAACTCCACTATATATTAACTGAACTTTTCGCATCCTTGGAGGAGTAATGGGAGCCATACAGTGCTCTCATCCTCAGAAAATCCCTCTGCCTCCTGAATACAGCCCTGCTCCCCCTACTTCCCAAGGTTTCCAACTGAATTAAGAGGGAAAAGCAGAGAAGCCTCCATGAAAGTTCCTCCCAGCTCTTGATAAACAAGTCCCATATAAGAAAAGGAAAAGAAATTTAACTCTGCTATTCCTTTACAAAGATACCAATCAGAGATTAAACCTGGAGAGAAAGCCATACCACTGGAACAGAGAAGCATTATAAAATACTTGTATAAAGATCTTGGCATCTCCATCAGTGAGCTGATACGTCTAAGCAAGTCTGAAAGGCACCTAAATCAAGTCGTAGCAACAAGGGGAGTCTATGTCTAGGTGTTAACACTTTAAATGTTCTTAGTATTCCCAATTAAGAAAATAGAAAAAAACCCATCCCCCTGGAAGTACAGCTCTCTCTACCAATCCCTACTGCTAAGAAGAAATAGAACCTCACACAAGTCCATTACTTCAATTGTAAAACAGAAGTCTGGGTTCTGTCAGTTTTTAAAGATCCAGGTAAGAAAGAGCCACTAACAATCATTTGGGAAAAAAATTATTATACCTTTCTACGTCACCCGACTGTGGTTGAGAACGGATGGTGATTATCGAAAATATGTTGTTAAAAAAGTACTAAACTCCCTTAGATGATTCCAAAATGCTTCCTCACTTACTCTCCAATAAGTTAAAAACTACTGGACTATATATAATTGCTAAGATACATCCCAAACCCCACCTGGCTTACTACAACTTTCCATTGTGCTGATTATCCTTCAGACAAGACGTTATGTATTTATTTGGTACTCTCCAGAAAATAAGAAATAAAGGATTTGTATGATACTAAATTACTACGTTATTATTAAAATATATACACAGATCAATTAAACATATTATGTAAAAATTTAATATATTCCAGAGAATGCACCATTAGACAACATGATAGAGAATTATTTTGTGCTGGGAAAACTGATTACCAAGTTAGTGGTAAAAAGAAGGGACTTTAAAGCTTCCTCTCATTCCTAACGTTCAAGTAAGTTTCAAATGAGCTAAAATAAAGGTATTAAAAGTTAAACCACAAAAAATCTAGAAGAATATGGAATTGATTATTTATCAAGCCTTTGGAGGGAAGATTTTCCTAACTTATAAGCAATATTAGAAAGCATAAAAAAGAAATCCACATATTTGATAACATAAAATTTAAAGAGAGTCTAGAAAAACATATTTTCAATAAATAAGTTAATATTTTCTATATAAACAATTTACAGAAATGAAAATAATCATTAGGACACCAAATAAATGTAAATTAAAATAAAGACTTTTGTTTTTGTCTGACAATATTTGGTATTGGCCCTCAAGGGTACAAGTGAAACCCAACTCTTTCCCTAACAGGATGAACTGGAATAGGCTTTACAAAACAATTTTACAAAATTAAACACCCTTAAAAATATTCACTTTTACCCAGATGACCAAGTAATTCTGCTTCTGAAAATTAACTTGAAGAAATACGAAACTGTGGAAAAAATCTTCACATCTCTACCCTAACCAAATGATACGTTATATTAGTAATATTATGAAAAGCATAGCAGCCATTAGCTATAAAATAAAAAATAAACATTATAAAAATCCATAAAAAAATAAAGTGGGGGGACGGGGGATTAAGGGATTGGAAGAGTTTTAAGAAATATTAACCAAATGTAAGATGTCAAATTTTCTGAACATTGATTCAATCAATACAACTATAAAAAGACATTTGAGACAATCAAGGGACACTGAACATGAACTGGATAATTGATGATATTAAAGAATTTCTGAGTATTCTAATGGTATTCTGATTAAGGTTTTCTTATAGTCCATATCTGTCTTACCTGTTACAGATACCCAGTATTTACAGATGAAACGATAAAATGTCTAGGTTTTGCTTTAGAAATAATCCAGCCCAAGAATAAAGAAGAAGGGGAAATAGATGAAGAACAGTATGTTGTTAACAGTTGTTGAAGCTGGTGTTAGGTAAATAGGGGTGCATTATATTTTTTCTACTTATGAATGTTTAAAAAGTATAATCAAATTTTTAAAAATTTAAAAAGCAATGAATTAAAATTTGACTGTTTAGGGGCCCTTGGGTGGCCAGTTAAGTGTCCAACTCTTGATTTTGGCTCCAGTCACAATCTCACAGTTCATGAAATTGAGCCCCACATCAGGCTTCATGCTGACAGCATGGAGCCTGCTTGGGATTCTCTGTCTCCTCTCTCTCTGTCCCTCCCAGCTCACACACACACGTGCACTCTCTAAATAAATAAATAAACAAACATTAAAAAAATAAAACTGGAAGGCTTAAAAAACATAAATTATAGTGATCTATATAATGGAATAGTATGTACTTCATAAAGAATGGGACAGGTCTTGTGTATTAATAGGGAATAATGTTAATACACTTAGTGAAGAAAACAAAATGTAGGCCAGTGTGTATAGGATGTATGCTATTATTTATGTTAAATACACATACTCGTGTGCACACACACATACCCACATATACCAGGCACACACACACACTGGGTCATTGACTGCCAGGAGACACAAGAAGGAAACTCTTGCGTACTCTGTTCAGTTTAAAAATGGTACCATTCGGGGCGCCTGGGTGGCTTAGTCGGTTAAGCATCCGACTTTCGCTTAGGTCATGATCTCGCGGTTCGTGGGTTCGAGCCCCGCATCGGGCTCTGTGCTGACTGCCGGCTCAGAGCCTGGAGCCTATTTCAGAGTCTGTGTCTCCCTCTCTCTCTGACCCTCCCCTGCTCACGCTGTCTCTCTCTCTCTCTCTCTCCTAGAAATAAAAATAAAAAAATAATAAAAATAAAAAAATAAAAAAAAATAAAAATGGTACCATTCACATGTACCACCTCTTAGAAAATACCTTAAAAACGGAATTATCTGTTTATCTTCCTGTCTCTCTGACCAGACACTGTGCTCCTAAGACAAGGGAATAGGCGCTAACCTTCATAATATGTCCAGATTAAGCACAATAAATACGTGTTGAACAACGACAATTAAAGAGTAAGAAAACTCTGAAATAAAGTACTGATCATAAGTAACTAACCTAGAAACATGTAAATTTCACTTAATTTTCAACATTAAATGAAAATGTAATGTTAACAAGGTAAAAATTACTATATTAAAGAAAATCATTTGCAAAGAAACGAATACTAGAAGGAAACATTAGATGTTAACAAACAGTTGTCTTTAGATAATTAGACAGAGATACTTTTTCCCCTTCCTTGTTTTTTTCCCCAAATTCTTTAATACACATACATTGCTTTTATAAGTCAAAATAATTAAGTACAGCTTTTTTTTTGCAAAGAGCCAAATAAAATCGCAGAAACACAGGGAAAATGTAACTATTTGGAAGTGAAATATGTCTGTCTCCATAAAAAATGTCCTATTTGTTATTCAAGAAAAAGTAAGAGGATAACCTGGTCTCTCCCTCTGGCCTTGTGAAAGTCAGTGAGGAAACTGCTGATATATACATGTGGGAGGAAATCATTTGATGGCACAAATTCTAACAGCTTTTTACTGTTTCCTTTTCAGACAGACTATACCAGCTAGTACTATTTGATAAAAACAGAAAAAAGGGGTGAAGGAAATTCACAGGAACAAACGGAAATAGAGTACAACAGAAAACATGATAAAAACAAAGGACTTGAAAGACTGTCATTCACAAATACATACTTGAAAACCTATATCAAAAGACACTCATTAGTACATTTTTAAAAATTTTTTAATGTTTATTTATTTTTGAGAGAGAGACAGAGAGAGAGCAAGAGCAGGGGAGGAGCAGAGAGAGAGGGAGACACAGAATCAGAATCTGAAG